GTATGTTTGTGGAAATTAGGAGAAATGAAAGAATGTGGTGACTCCTTCAATGACAAGAAACAAGAGAAGGAAGACATGATAAGGAATACAACTGCTCTCTGGTACTTATTAAACATAATTGTGCTTCTTCTGTTATTATAAACCTTGGCTGTTGATTCCTAATTTAGAAGATTATATGTAGTAAATGTCGTTTTTTTAAACATTTTTAAGTGCTTACAATGGGAAGCAAATTATAACTTCTATTATAAAGGAAACTCATTTCTTAATTTTATGAATTTTTAGTTGTATATGTATATATACACACACACAAATTAAAAAGAAAATGAGAAATATTTGTAAGAAATGATTTCTAATCACAACTTTTGATTATCTTTATCATTGTTAATTTGCATTTTCCTACTTAGGAATCGATCTCCTTTTTTGTTAATATGACCATTCATTTTCACCTCTAGCTATTGTTTAGCAGTCCAATATTTGCACCTGTTAATGAAGTAGCCACAGAAAGACCCACATGTGTATTCCAGAGAAAGTGGAATGTCAGCAGCTGACAAAACAAGATGACAGTTTAATGTGCACAGAGCCAGGATTCAATATAATGCACTACAGCAAAGTTGAAAGTTCAACTCAAACTGGAGAGCAAACACTCTAGTCGACCGTGGTGTTTTTTTGTTTGTTTTTTTTTTTTGGTCCTGAAAAGAGAAGCTATCTTTGTCATTGTCATTGTCAGATTATTGTTTTTGGAGAGATTGAATAATTATTTGCTTTACAGAAAATATGCTTTAGCACAGTCTTATCTCTGTCACGGAGTCCATCATTTTATGAGAGTCAAGAAAAGGGAGCCTTGCCCTGGCCGGTTTGGCTCAGCGGTTAGAGCGTCGGCCTGCGGTCTGAAGAGACCCAGGTTCGGTTCTGCAAGGGGCACGTACCTCGGTTGCAATTTGTCCCCGGCCCTGGTTGGGTCTGTGTCTTTCACGTCGATGTTTTTCTCTCTCTCTCTTCCACTCCATCGGAACAAAATATCAAAAAATGTCCTCAGGTGAGGATAAAAAAATTTTTTAAAAGAAAGGGGAGCCTTAAAAATTGGGACTAATTTTTACTGTGTGTGAATTTAAACAGTCTTTTTTGTATAAGTTTCAATTACTGATATGACTTTGGATATAATGAAATAACTAGATATAAATGTCTTTGCACATGGAAACTTATTTGGTTTTACCAATTTGCTTTTCTAACTTTCTGTGGATTCATTTTTAAAATTTGGGTTACATTTTTTCTTTTTTTCCTGTTAATATTCTGGCAAATGCCCTCCAAAGCTTGTGGCTCTTACCCCAGTGATTTCCTAGGTCCATGTCAACCAAACGGCAATGAACTACCTCTGAACTCCTCGTACCCTGGGAGAGAGGCATTTGAAGTGAATCGTACCCTTTATTTGAGAACAAATAGGTGGAAGGATCTCTAAAGAGCATGCCTTGGTGACCCCTCCACTTGTCTGAACCCAAGGAAGGCTAATGATAGCAAAGACTTGTCATTGTGCTTCTCAAATTGGTGGCGGTGGGCCTTAGGCTTTCTCTTTAGCTAGCTTCTGTCCCCTGAGCCTTGGGAAGACTGAGTCACTGTGCTGATGGTGGTAGACTGTCGTTTCCTCTAGGAAGTTTGAGATGCAGTGTAGACAACTAAGGGAAAACATTTTGGTTAGTTCTAGGACCCCAAAGGGCTCTCCAAGACTATGGGACTGATGGAGTAGGAGTTAGAGTTTAGAGAACTAAGTAGGAGTAATGGGTTAGGGCCCAGGTTCAGGATTAAGCCAGCCCTGCAAATTCTCCTGTCAGCCAAGGATAAATCAGAAGTACGGGTCAGCCATGCCTAGGCACAGCCTTCTATCCCTGATCTAATGTTTTTCTATATCTATAAATTTCATGAATGGCCCGATTCAAGTCTTTAGCTGGTGACTCCAAATCCTTTCTCTGTAATGGACCGCAGTCCCAAATGCCAGGCCCTTGTCCCAGTTGCTTATTGGGGTCTTCATTTGATTGTGCCATGAGTACTTCGAAGTGTGTCTGAAAGTGCATTTACAGATTCTCCCTCATTAAAGAGAGAAGAAGAAAGAAAGAAACCCAGCATACAAATAGAGAGATTTTCCTATTTCCTATTCCTATTATTTGTTTTCAGTATAGTGACTAGTGCCATTCTCCATCTAGTTGCTCAAATAGGAAATTATAGGCAGTTCTCCCCTCACTCAGTATGTACCCTAAACTCTACCTCTTTCATATTTCCTCCAAATATGCAAATTCCTTCTCTCCTACAGCCCTATTTGGTTCTGCTGCATCTGCAGTGCTTTGACCATTTCCTGGCACATAGTAGGAATTCAGCAAATAATTAGTGAGTGAGAGAACAAAGAAAACAAACAAAGCCACTGGCCCTGTAGGGAACAGATACAACCTTTTAAAAATAAATGCATTTTGGAAAACATTTAAAAGAAATTTTATCCATTAAGCAGGACAGGCTGCTGTGAAAAAGGAATAGTCTGAGGAAAAGAATTATTTCTTGGAAGTAACAAATTTTAAAAAGTGGCAACGGGAAGGCTGAATAATAAAACTGACACAGCTGAAGATCTGATTAATAATCTGGAAGAAAAAAATCTCTCAGAAATAGTGCAAACTAGCCCTGGCTGGTTTGGCTCAGCGGTTGGAGCGTCGGCCTGCGGACCAGAGAGTTCCCCTGGGTTCAGTTCCCACTAGGGGCACGTACCAAAAAAAAAGAAATAGTGCAAAATAGCAGACAGAAATTATAATAAAAGTTAAACGGTGGTCTCTACAAGAAACTAAAGCAAAATGTTCAAAGAAAATAATGTTTGAACCCTAATTCTTATATCCAGATCCTCGAATATGCCAAAAAAAAAATAAGCTATGCAGGATGATAGGATCACAATAAAAAGGAGAATCTAGATATGACTCAGAAGTGAGGGAAGGCTAGAAAAAAATTAAAAGTTGAAACATTAAACTAACACTTGGTAGAGACTTCTTTAGTGGCAGAGTTTAGTAATAGGTTTGCACTTTCTTCTTCATGGATAGTTACATTACTTAGTCCTGTAGTAAACAGTGTTTACATAAACACATTGTCAATGTTATTTACTCGATTTGGGGTTTTAGAATCAATGTATGGAAAAAGCATGGAGAACTTAATTATGGTTTAAGAACAATCCTATTGACATTGACAGTGTGAAAATAACATTCTTTCTAAAAACTTGGAAGCTGGGTGAGTGAATATGTTGGCAAACATAAAAGACTAAACAAATTTTCCACTGTTCACAGTGAGGAGTTACTATATCAAGTACACAAGTTTACATAAATTGAAATCATAATAAAAGCACAACAGGCATGCAAGGTGGAGGCTGACAGTGATGTAAATGCTCTTAAATTGTTATCTTTATTTGTGGGGAGCCCAAATCAATAAAAGCTATTTTTTATTTATAATGATAATAATGAGAAAAACTAAACAACAAAAACACACAGAAAAAACACCTTAGCTTCTGGGAAGAACGAGTTATATGTTCATGTGTACGATTCCATTTTTAGTTTGTGTTTCAGATATGTGCATACATTTTCATTTAAAAATCTAAGGTAACATGAATGAAGAAGTCAATAGCTAGTGTATAGAAATAAACTGGAATATATGTGAAGCGTCTGACACAGAGTAGGCACTTAATCAATTATAGTTTTTATGGCTGTTATTACAAATTTGATTTTTATATGTGGTAGCTGATGTCAGCCAAGATCTCTCTGCCCCTACAGATACAAGTAAATTTGGGTGAAACCAATTTTGTACTTTGTGGTGGGGCAGAGTGTGTCCCATGATTTCTGCAGATGTCATAGCATCTTCTAGTGGTTGTCGCTGTGAATAGGCTCCTTCCTCCACTGAACGAAGTCAGTTTCCGCTTGCCATCCCAGTTCACATTTTGTTTAATTAGATGCCGGATTCACTCCAGTTCTGTGATTTCTACTAAAAACACCCACTCACATGACATCTTTGCATTTGTAAGTTTGAGAACATTGAAGAAGGTTAAGTGACAGGGACAGTTTACATCACTAGGATGCCATTTCAAATTGAATATTAGACATGACCCCTGGCCACTGGTCAGCCGTGGCTTTACCACAGATTAGCACCTTATGGTCTTGCCTGGCCATTTTCTCCTTCTCTGACTCTCTTCTCTGCTCCCACTTCTGATTGCTTGGGGGAGCTTGCAGTCCCTTTTACTTTATTCTTCAGAATCCTCTGACTCTTACTCCCAGACCTGGCTCCAGACCCTCCTTGGCAGAGTCCAACCCATGAAGATGGGCAACAGAGCAAGGACCTCTTGGGTCACAGAATCCACTAGAGAAGTTAGTTGTGGCATAAGGAGCATTTTTTTCTGTCTGTTGTTTATAACTATAGCAATAGCTAACCAAGCAGATCTTGATATTCAGTGTACTTTCTCACTACCATCTACTCTCCTCTGCATCAGAGAAATAGAGTAGCAAAATTTCACCTTGAGTATCATTTACAATAAAACATTGTTTTAAAGCTTCTATTTTCACAGGTAATAACTGCCCATTTCATTTTTTAAAGTATAATGGTAAAGTTTGACCAACATATAATTACAGAGTAATGTATATTTTTTAAAATGGTAGTGGGTAAATTGGTTTTAATGGACTATAATTGTCCAATTGCAAATGCAATATATAAGCACCGAGCTTTATAAAGTGGCTAAAGCAGAGAAGATTCCTGTAGAACTATGGCTGGCATATTTTAAGTCTCAATTGCCTTTCTCCAAGCTGCAAAGAAACCACATTTTTATGCACCTTGATACAGGGTTGGGCAAAAGTAGGTTTACGATTGTCCATATGGAAAGGAAAATAATAATTAATAAATAATAACACAAGAATAAACTCTGTGTTTCATGTACTTGCAACTGTAAACCTACCTTTGCCCCACCCTATATTCACCTTGGTTTATTTCCTTGCCAGGTTAGATCTGTAACACCTGTTGAGAGACATGAAGAAGAGACGATGAAAACGTCAAAGGATGAGGTATAGTAATGATTAATATGACCATTATTATTAACCTAATTATTCTTCATATTGATGCTGGCTATTCTTAGAAAGTGGCAATGACTTGGGTAGAGAGTTAGTTTCATGAAGAGACAGAGGACATGATTACCTCTATAATATGATTCTGGGGTACATTTCTGCCACACTCAAATAAATCTCTCTCATTCTTGAAATGCCTACAATCCCACTGTTAGAGATTCATTCCTTTTGCTAAAAAAAGTTTCCCCTTATAAAATATAAATAATACTGAAAAATAATATAAAGCTCTAATATGATTGAATTGGTCAGATCTCTTTCTGATACAGTTTTGGTATAAAGAGGAAATAGACTAACTGGAAGCAGTTGCTGCCTATGGTGAAGAGCTGGAGAGGCCACAATGAGAGACGGAAAACTAGATTTAGAAAAGGGATGCCTGGTAGAGGGGAGGGGCAATGAAAATAAATTTGGTTGCTTCATAATGATGTCTAGAACTGTTGCCTTTCAGTGAATCATTTACATGCAACAAAGACGTGGGATCTTAAATTCTTTCAATTTATGGGAATTTGTGAGTAAATGTAACTCATTGTTCCCTCAAATTATTTTTGATAGTAGCTAGAATGTGCATGCTATGTATTAGAGTACCCTTTCAGATTTATGGAGAAACAGGGTGTATTGTTCATGGAATTAACTTTGTGATGTATTTTCTATTGAAAGGCTGAAGAGAAACATATTTTGGAGAAGCAAATAGAAAGATTAAAGGGTAATTTAGACCGTGAGATAAAGAAGACAGAAAGGTATTGGAAATAATGACTCATAACTGTTCATTTGTAGCTAATACAAAATTTAACCATCTATAAATTTATTACAGGTTTAGGAAGGAATCAGACAGGATAAACAAAAGCTGGGAAAGAAAATTCTTGGTTCTCAGGAACAGGTATAGTGTGGTGATATATATAAATTCTAGTTATAAAAATGTGACTAATCTTTTAAGGAAATTTTTTGTATGTATTAATTAGTATAAAATGCCCTGGCCAATTTTGCTCAGTGGTTAGAGCATCGGCCCGTGGAGCAGAGAGTCCCGGGTTGGGTTCCTGCTAAGGGTACGTACCTCGGTTGTAGTTTGTCCCCAGCCCCGGTTGGGGTCCTGTGGGTGGCAATCACTCGATGTGTCTCTCTCACATCGATATTTCTCTTTCTCTCTCTTCCTCCTTCTCTCCCTCCCACTCTGTCTGAAGATAAACGCAAAAATGTCCTTAGGTGAGGATAAAAAAATTAATTAATTAAATAAAATGTCCTCAGACACTTTTAACAAGTGCAAAATAATTGGCCTAAAATAGAAGAGTAGTCGAAATCACTTCAAAGAAAAAATACTCTAAAACTCTGTTTATTCCCAATATCAGTATCTCAACATTTAAAAGATCAACAGGACAGATGGTCTCTGCTGGTGCCTGGTTTAGTCTGACCTCCATAGTTCCTCTTTCTTCCTAGGGCTGTTAAGTGTTTTTCTGCTCATTTGTACATATTCATATTTAACTGGTTTATATCTTTGTAAAGTTGCTTTATATTCTAGATCCTCTTCTCTTTTTCAGACAAAACAACACCAACTCAATTCTCAGATCTAATTTCCATTCAGATAATTACTTTAATTTCTCTTCCCTATGTCACCTTTGTCTTTTTTTAAAGATGGAGAAAGTAAAAAAAAAAAAAAAATGGAGAAAGTGATGCTAAAATTCTAAAAAAGCTAAAAGCACTGCCAAGTACAAAAAAAAAAAAATGCTTATTTTTTCCTGTCCTAACAAGTTAACATTAAAACTCTGTATTCTAATATCTTGGTTTCTGCCATAATTTCCCCCAGATTGTCTTCTTTAGCACATGTTGAAAATTTCTTTGCAAGATTTTCTCTCAGTCAAGACAGGGTAGATTCAATGTTGGTCTGATGTCCTAGGTCACGAGTGAGGCTCATACGTGATTTCATGAGTTGATAATGCCATATATTCTCACTGTTTCATAACATGCACAGTGTGTGTGTGGGGGGGGGGGGTAAAATTCTATACATTGCTGTAGACATGTCACTGAAACAATCCCAGGTGTCACACTGAGAATCTATATATCAGAAATGCCACCAGAGGATGAGTGAAGGATCTCTTCCTTGTGGTGAAATGTTTTGCTTTCCACTCCTGCTTGTGTTGCACGTCTGTACTGATAACTAGTTTGTGCCCTGAAACGATGTGCATGTCACTACTTGCCCTGACCCCTCACAGAGATATTAGAGGACAGCATGCAGAAATGGTGAGACAAGAGACTGGAAAGGAAAGAGCAAAGGAAAGTTTGACCACACACTTCATTTCATCTCCCCACACATGGGATTTGGGCTGTCTCTGAAACAGAGTAGAACGTCTTTTCCTTGCTTGTTTCTGTGGGGTTCATTTTTATCCTTAAGATTTACCTTGTGTCTGCCCCTATTGGATTCATCGTATACTCAAAGCCCATTTACAAGATTGTCTCAGTTTTACTTTCAATTGATTTGCTGTCAACATAGATGTTGATAATCATATTTATCCTTTTGGTCTTTGCAGACTTTATGTTGGTATCTAAATATTTAGGACAGCAGGAAGCATTATTACACACTTTCTATATGTTTCTCATTTATTGACTGACTAGAGCATAATGTTGGGACATAATGCATTCTATGTCTCTGGTTTGGTTGCATCACCAAGTGTTCATTTGAGGTGATACATGCAGCAACATAGAGAGTGTAATATACCCAGAGTGCTATGCTATGGTGTGGTATGGAGATTAATTATGCAGTTGCAGACTTCTGTGTGCTAAAATGGTTATTTCATTCCACAGTAACAGATTGTAGATCAGGAGCAATCATTTTTGTTTAGTAGAAGAAAAACTTCACCTTAGCCAGTCAAGGTAATAGTTTAATGCAATGATTTCTCAGCCAATTCATGATTTATATTCAGTCCCAGTTCAATTCAGAGCTTTTTCTCCAAGTTCCTTTTTCATTTCTGAGTTAGCTCTATTTCCAGGAAGATTGAACTTAAGCAGTTTTGACAGAGCAGTGGCTAGCTAGTCCTTCTTCTTAACATGGCATGGCTGGCTCAGCTGTGATATCATCTTTGCCTTTTCTCTCAGCAAAAAATGGTGCACAGTTGTGGCACATCGGCCCAGGAATAGATCACCACCTGGATGATGCCACAGTGATGCAGCTACTCCCACCCCACCCAGGAGTACATCCATAGGCACCCTTCCAAGCCAGGATACAAAATCAATATACAAAAATCGGTTATGTTTCTCTCTCTCTCTTTTTTTTTTCAGTTGTGTTTCTATTCATTAACAATGAACTACCAGAAAAATAAATTATAAACCAATCTTGTTTTACAATTTCATCAAAAAGAATGAAATACTTAGGAATAAATGCACCAAAGAAGTGAGAGATCTGTACAACAAAAATTATCAGACACTGATGAATGAAATTGAAGAAGACACAAGTAAATGGAAAAACCCTCTGTACTCATGGATTGGAAAAATTAATATTCTGAAAATATCCATACTACCCCAAGACATCTATAGATTCAATGCAATCCCTATCAAAATTCCAATGGAATTTTTCAAAGAAATAGGAAAAGCAGTTCTAAAATTTATATAGAACCACAAAAAACTGCAAATAGCCAAAACATTCTTGAAAAAGAACAAAGCTGGAGGCATCATGCTCCCTGATTTCGAACTATAGTATGAACCTATAGTAATCAAAACAATAAGATATTGGCATAAAAGGTGTTGGCATAAAAACAGAAATGTAAATCAGTGGAAAAGAGAGAACCAAGAAATAAATCCATATGTATGGTCAATACATTTATGAGAAAGGAGCCAAAAATACTCACTAGGGAAAGGACAATCTCCTCAATTGAGGGTTTTGGGAAAATTGGACAGCCACACCCAACATAACGAAACTGAAACCCTATTGTCAACATATACAAAAGTCAACTCAAAATGGATTAATTTCTACATTTATGATCTGAAACTATAAAATTCCTAGAATTAAACAAAGAGAGTAAATTTCTTGACACTGGTCTTGGCAAAGACATTTTGGATTTGAAACCAAAAGCAAAGGCAACAAAAACAAAAATGAACGAAAAACTTCTGCACGGTAAAGGAAGTCATCATCAGAATTAAATGGCAATTTATAGAATGGGAGAAAATACTTGGAAATCATGTATCTGATAAGGGGTTAATATCCAAAAATATATAAAGAACTCACACAACTCAATAGCCAAATCAACAATAACAACAAATGGCAAAAAAAAAAAAAGCCCAAACAATACAATTGAAAAATGGACAGAGGAACTGAATAGACATTTTTTTCCAAAGAATGCATACAGATGGCCAAAAGGTATGTGAAGACATACTCAAAATCATTAGTAATCTGGGAAATGCAAATCAAAATCACAATAAGGTATCATCTCACACCTGTTAGAATCGCTATCATCAATCAATCAATAAAAAGACAGGTATTGGTGAAGATGTGGAGTAAAGGAAACACTTGTGTACTGTTGGTGGCAATGTAAATTGGTGCAGCCACTGTGGAATGCAGTATGAAGGCTCTTTAAAAAATTTAAAATGCCCCATCAATTCCACTTCTGGGTATATGTCCAAAGGATATTAAAATGGCGATGTTGGCAATATATTTGCAATTCCATGTTCATTGGAGCACTATTCATTATATAACAAATTTTTACAAAAGTTAGAATCACCTCGTACAAATTAGTCTGCAATTTGCCCTTTTTACTTAACACTCTATTTTGGGCAGCTTTCCTCACCAGGACATTTAGATACACTACATTCATTTTAATGGCTACATGGTACTCTTATATATGCACATTATAATTTATCTAACTAGTTAGGCAGATTAATTTTGTCCATTATGAATAATGCTGCATTGAATTATTGTTTTCTTTTTCTTTGTGTTTTCTTTTTCTTTGTTGATATTAGAGAAGAAGGGAGAGGGAGAGAAAGATAGAAACATCTATGAGAGAGAACATCTATTGGCAGCCTCCTGCATGCCCACCACTGGGGATCAGGCCCACAACCTGCGCACGTGCCCTGATCAGGAATCGATCTGGCGACCTCTTGGTGCATGGGTCGATGCCCAACCAATGAGCCACACCAGCTGGGCTTCTTGTGTTTTCTTAATATGCTATTGCTATTATTTCCGTAAGATAGATACCTAGAAGTAGTTTTGATAGATCAAAAGTTGTACAGTTTTTAAATCAAATTTTAAAAAAATTTTAATAGAAGCCCTGGCCAGTCTGGCTCAGCAGTTTGAGCGCTGGCCCAAAGACCAAAGAGTCACAGGTTTGATTTATGGTCAAGGGCACATACCTTGTTTGTGGTTCATCCCCAGCCCTGGTTGGGGTCTCGCAGGAGACAACCACTCAGTATGCCTCTTTCACATTGATGTTTCTCTCTCTCTCTCTCTTTTTCTTTCTCTCTCTCTCCTCCTTCTTTCCTCCCTCCCTTCTACCTTAAAAATCAATGAAAAAATATCAAGTGAGAATTAACAAAAAAATAAATAAAAATTTTAAAAAATTCTAATACCCTAAATTCTCGTACTCTCACTTCAATCTTATTCCTCTCATTTCTTTCTCAGAAGTCAACATAATAAATTTAGTGTTTATTCTTCCTCTCACCTTTTAATTTTTTTACTATAAATTATATCTGAATAAAGATAAATAATAAAAGTATTTTGTGTGCTTCAAAATTTATATAATGTGCATTAACAATCATAATGTACTTACCAATTTTTTCACTTGTTTTAACTTTGAAATTTATTCAAGTTGATACTTAAGATTTAGTTTATATATTTCATTCATTCTGCATGTTCTGTGGCACTGTTCATGATTAAAGTTTCTGCCCAGAAGTGCCATA